CCTGGGTGGGGGGTGGGTGCAGGGGCGCGGGGAGGAGCTGAGCGAGGACCCCCTGGACCAGAAATGGTTTAAATGGAATAGAGAGTCGTGGCAGCAGGAGTTTGGGGACAAGCAGCCGGGAGCGCCTGTGCCCCGGCCCCTCTCCGGCCATGTGCCGCCCGCAGGGAGGGGAGTCCTGGGGGCCCCTGGCCGGGAGGGCAGGCCTTTCCCGGTGGCTCAGGGGACACTCAGCTCAGAACAACAGAAACCTTCACAAACCCAGGTGATGTGGGCGCCCGGTTTTATATGCTTCACCCCATGTCCTCACCACAGCCGGGGGGCAGGACAGCACAGCACCCCGTTTCCCGGAGAGGACACTGCGGCGTGAGGAGCGGGGCAGGTGCTGAGGCCGTGCGCTACGTCCAGTGGACACATTTGTATGCGGAGCCTGTTATTCCCGGGCACGTGGGGAGCCAGGCAGGGAACCGCCGACTGGAACAGGAGTCAGGCTTTCTGCCCCCAAGAAGCTTGAAGGAGTGTGTTACAGACACGGAGGGGTCGCAGGGGAACGGAGGGGACCGGGAACAGGGCTGTCTGTGCAGGGGTGAGGGAGGAGGGGGACGGACTGGACGTCCGAAGTAGCTCCTCTGGGCCTGCGTCTGGGTTCAGAGAGTGGCCACCAGCAGGGAGGCCCCGCTGGGCCAGCCTCCGCTCCGTCCAGTCGCCTTCTCACGGGGCTTGTCTCCATCTTATCCGCGGCTCCCATCACCTCCGCTTCCTCGCTCTCACCTCAGGGCCTGTGCCCTCCGGCCCCCTGACCCGCCTCCTTTCTCACAGCGCCCAGCACCCCTGGCAGGAGGTCTGTGTGGCCCCTGCCTGGGCCTGGCGGACTGTGCACTCACATTCCTGTCGCCTCCACCGGGGCAGGGACGGGCCTCCGGTCCTCACTGCTGCCTCCCAGCACCTAGGACAGTGCCTGTCCCGCACTCAGTCGGCGCTCGTGCAGGGACCGTAGCCAGGCGCTGTCTCCGTGCATCGCCCATCATCTGTCTCAGGGTCAGTCCCCGGCAGGACCGACGGGCAAACTTGCACAGAGCCCCCACTGCACCGCCCCGTGCATGCCCAGGCACCCCCCCCCACCCCTCACTCTGCCAGGCAGGTGGGAGCAGGGCAACTGGGGACCAGGGCGGCTTGGGGCAGGTGCAGCCCTCACGGTCTCTGGGGTCCGGGCTGTGAACGCCCGCCCCGGCCCCGGGACAGAGGGTCTATAGGAGAGCTGGGCCTTGCAGGCTCACAGAGGAGTTTAATTTGGCCTTCGCGGTTTTGTTTTGTTTTAAACCGAGTTAATCGCCACATTTTAAAATCAGTACATTTCATACACACCCACATGCCCTACTTCTTTGGAAAAATGCAAAGATGTGGCAACATGACCCACTTTTTTTTTAAAATCCTCACCTAAGGATATTTTTCCATTGATTTTTAGGGAGAGTGGAAGAGAGAAAGACCAAGAGAAACATCCATGTGAGAGAAACACATCCATTGGTTGCCTCCTGCACGAGCCCTGACCAGGCAGGGGAGGAGCCTGCAGCCAAGGTACATGCCCTTGACTGGAATCGAACCCGGGACGCGTTGGTCCGCAGGTCGATGCTCTATCCACTGAGCCAGACAGCTTTTCACGTGGCAACAGGTGAGCACCTGACCCGGTTTCACATGGCAGCAGCGGGTGCGCATGCTTCCTTCAGAGGCACTGGCTTTGCCGGGCGCCAGTCTCCGCCCTCGTGGCCCCACGCACGGGCTGGGAGGTGGTCTCGGTCCATCAGTGACCTTGCCCTGTTGGTGCTCCCACACCTTTAACTACAGGGATGGGTTCCGCACCCCGTGGTTTGTGTCCTAGGTGCAGAGCACCAAGGAGGTTGATGCCTTCTGACAGTGACACTGTGTGCCAGGCGCCGCTCCAAGGTTACATGTACAGTCATGCGCCACAGAACGACATACGTTTCATTCCGTGATGGGCCGCGTGTGACGCTGGTCCCGTGAGATTATAACGGACTGAAAAACTCCTGTTGCCTGTGACACTGCAGCGTGGAAACGCCATGGTGCATGCGTTACTTCTGTGTGTGGTGATGCTGGTGTGAGCAAACCTGCTGCCTTGCCATTCATAATAGTACAGCACATACAGCCCTGGCCAGTGGATAGAGTGTCAGCCTGCAGACTGAAGGGTCCCGGGTTCAATTCCGGTCAAGGGCACATGCCTGGGTTGTGGGCTCGATCCCTAGCACGGGGCGTGCAGGAGGCAGCCAATCCATGATTCTCTCTCATCGTTGATGTTTCTCTCTCTCTCTCCCTCTCCCTTACTCTCTGAGATCAATAAAAGATCTATATATTTTTAGAAAGCATAGCACATACAATCCTGCACAGTGCGTGGTGTTTAACGATGATGGCTGCATTACAGGTGTGTGTACTCACTGTGCTCTGTTTTTACCGTGATCTGAGGCCGTGCTCTTCTCCTTGTCAGCAGAGCTCGCCGAGGGGCATATGCCATGTGAGGCTGGCAGCCCCACGCGCCCGTGTTCACCGCGTCATTTTCTCCGGTGCCTGTGTGAGTCCCGTGTTTTGTGCAGGAACGCGCTGTGCAGGTGAAGCCAGGAGCAGGCTGTCCCCCGGAGCCCAGGGTGGGGGGGCCGGGCCATGGCGGGGTGTGAGTGCACTGTATGGTGTTCCCACTCTGGCCGAACGCCTTTCTCACACTGTATCCCTGTTGGGAAGTGGCGAGTGACTGTAGTTCCTTGAAACTTCACAACTCGTGACACCAGTATTGCTACAATCCCGAGGATAGAGTAAGTCACTTATAAACCACTCACTGGGGACAGAGCTGGACTCAAACCCAGGCGTTCTGACGCCAGAGCCCCCACGGCTCCTGACCACGGCTCTCTGGTTGGCTCGCGTGGGTCTGGGCCAACAGGGGAGCCCCTCAGCCCGAATCCTCTCCCTCATCTTGCTCAGGAGCTGGAGAGAGGCGTCTGGAGAGGCAGGGCACCCCCTGGGGCCAGCCATTCTCCAGACCAATCTGTGTGCTCTGTTCCGAGGGAGGCACAGGGCGCGCTGAGCACAGGCCGCCAGGTGCTGACCTGCTGCCTGCAGTCGCTGGCCAGCGGCATGAAGGAGACACCCCCCCTCCCCCCGGCAGGGCGCCCCTGGAAGGATGGGGATGGCCTCCCACACCACGTATTTCACGTAAAACCCACCACATGCTCTTCTCGGCCACGTCTCACCAGCCCCTGCCTGGCCCCTTCACACAGCCTGGTGCGTAGAGGCCCAGGCGGCTGTGGGAGCAGGGAGATGGGGAGGCGGACCCCGGTCCTCTCACTGCCTCTCGTGGAGTCGGCTTCCTCTTTCGAAGGGCGACAGCCTGGCTCGCAAGCAGCAGGAGGGGGAGATGAAAGGATGCAGAACTCTGAGCTGACCAGCTCTGTCTGCCTCACTCTTCCTCAGAGCGCACAGCCCGTGGCCCACTGAGCCTGAGTAACTGGGGGGACCCAGGGCCACAACCAGACGCCTCATCCCCTCCCTGCAGGTGGGCCGCTCTCAGGGAGGCGCACAGGCCAGGCAGGTGAGGCTGATGGCCACCGCCCAGATCAGCCTGTCTGGCCACAGGCGGGGGAGGCGGGCAGGCGCCGCACAGGACAGGGTGGGGTCCCCTTCCCCGGGGATGCCCATGCCCACAGGTGTGAGGGGGCTCCTTTCCAGGACTGTGGTCCTCAAAAGTGGGCCAAGAGCTGGGTCCGAGGGCCTGGGATTTCCCTTCTGCCTCTGAGAGCCGGGGTTCCAGGGTCAGTCACTCCTCCGCTCGCGAACCCAGAGGGGCTCCCTAAGGCCTCTCAGACCCTCTCACCCCGGCGCCTCCTCACTACCCCGTCCTCTGCGTTCCTTTCCTCAACAACCTGCTCGGTGGGTCAGTCCAACACCCGTA